GAAAAATGGAGGATTTCTGAGAGACAGAGAACTACCTTTTTACACAATGGATTTTTGAGAGCTTCTTTTCACTTAATGGATTTTTAGAGCTACTCTTTGGACTATGGATTTTTGAAGGACTTTGGAATTCCAGAAATTCTTTAGGATGTAGTTTTTCATAGAGGATAGAGGGGAGGCGTTGCCTTTCCTAATTTTTCTTAGATTAGTGATTTTTATTGTGTTAGTTTTCTAGCTGGAGTTTGTTAGGTTTCTAAAGGCTTTGATTTGGAAATGTTCCTGAATGCTATGCTTTGCAATAAACTGAATTCTTTTTAAATCTTTATTTTTCTAATAAAAACAATTATACTTAAGAACTTATGCTTGGTCTCTTGAACAGAACCACCTGCTACCATATTTAGGCCACGAACTATACTACCTTGAGTCCAATGTTTTCCTGAGTTCTGAGGGATCTTAATGACTTTTAAGACTCATGGTTACTTTTTGGTTTCTTAATGGTTTTCAATTGGGAATAGACTTGGGAAAAGAGTGTCAGTGGGACGGCCTGGATGGGAAAAAGGACTCATCTCATCCTAAATAGGAGTACACTGAACTCTGGAACCTCTCTATTCCAAGCCGTCTGATTCTTTTAGGAGAATGGACAAGCTGACACAGAAAAAGACCAGAGAGAAGAGAAGGAACCTTGAGGAGGAAGAAGGAGGAGATTAAAAGGAGGGGTTCTAGGAGGGGAGATGAGCATGTTGTAGAGTTTAGAATTTCTGGTTAAATTCCTCTATTCTGCTTTATAGAGCAGAATACAGTAGCTTCAAGTTTTCCAGAGTAGTCCATGCCTTTTTCTCTGCTGGTACTTACATTAGCAGTAGGGGGAAAAATTAAAAGGTTTCATTACTTACAACTGAACAGAACAAAGAGCAAACGGACACACATGACTGCTTTCATCAACAGACTTCAACAGACTGCTTAGAGTGACAGTCACCTAGCAGTAGGAAATTAAAAGGTTTCATTACTTACAACTGAACAGAACAAAGAGCAAACGGACACACATGACTGCTTTCATCAACAGACTTCAACAGACTGCTTAGAGTGACAGTCACCCCGACCCAGAAAGGCATTTCGTGGACTCACCTTCTCCAGGCAGCATGCAAGGTTGTTAAAAAAAAACTCCAATAGAAAGAAGAGAGAAAAGGTGACAGTAAATGCAAAACAGGCTAAATAAGGGGAAGAAAATCAGGGAGATACTAAAAAAGAGCTAGAGATGGAAGGCTGGGAAACATCTGAATCCCAAGGAAATTAGGAGTATGTCCAAAGGGAAGATCTTTGAACTGGAGAAGCTGTCTCCCTGGGAGTCCCAAAGGCCAAGACGGAACGACTACCCCGGGGAAGGCTTTCCCGTAAACCCACCTTTTAGGGCAAAAGAGAGGGGAGAGAGGAGAGGAGGGAACTGTGAAAACATAAAGAGGAGTAAGGTCTCATGCCTAAAATCCCCAAAGCTGGCACAATGCCTAGGAGAAAGCCCCCAAACGCCACACACCGCAAAAGAGATGGGGGGGGAGAAAGGACAATTGTACTTTGGGTCAGCCAAGGGCTACTGTAAGTCATCTATGCTGCCGCACGCAGGCAGCAATCCATGAAAGGGGAGCAGCAATCCATGAAGGGGGTGCACCCGTTACATGCCCTCAAATTCGAATGAACTTCTAGATAAGTGAGATATTTAAGAAGTGGCTTTACTAAAACTATCTCATAAACTATAGCTGAACAGGGATTCAAACTCATGTCTGAATCGCCATCCATCATTCTAGCCACTGCAGCTCACCGAGCAGCTAATGGTTCAGTATGTGACGTACAGTTGTGTCCCACTGGACGATTACCCCATTTAACGCGCCACACACCGCAAAAGAGATGGGGGGGGAGAAAGGACAATTGTACTTTGGGTCAGCCAAGGGCTACTGTAAGTCATCTATGCTGCCGCACGCAGGCAGCAATCCATGAAAGGGGAGCAGCAATCCATGAAGGGGGTGCACCCGTTACATGCCCTCAAATTCGAATGAACTTCTAGATAAGTGAGATATTTAAGAAGTGGCTTTACTAAAACTATCTCATAAACTATGGCTGAACAGGGATTCAAACTCATGTCTGAGTCACAATCCATCATTCTAGCCACTGCAGCTCACCGAGAAGCTAATGGTTCAGTATGTGACGTACAGTTGTGCCCTGCTGGATGATTACCCCATTTAACGATGAATCTGCTTAACGTTGACTTTTTTGCGATCGCTTTTACAATCGCAAAACCATGGTTTAAATGGAGTTTTTTTCGCTGTTCGATGATCGGTTCCCTGCTTTGGGAACCGATTTTCGCTTTACGTCGGGTTTCAAAATGGCCACCGGCTGAAGAAAATGCCCCCCCGCTGTTTTTAGGACTGATTTTTCACACTACAGGCACCAGGAAATGGCCGCTGTATGGAGGATCTTTGCTGGACGAGCAGGTACTTAGCCCACTGGAACGCACTGAATGGTTTTCAATGCATTTCAATGGGTTTTTTTTATTTTTTTCGTTTGACGACATTTTCGCTCTACAGCAATTTTGCTGGAACAAATTAACGTTGTCAAGCGAGGCACCACTGTATCGAATAATTTGGTCTTGATGCGTAAGAGAGGCATTGCAAATGAATAGCCTGCTCTTGGAGAACAAGAAGACTTTTTAATTTTTGTTTTTCACTTGGCTTCACACCCTTGTGTGGACTGATTTTTCACACTACAGGCACCAGGAAATGGCCGCTGTATGGAGGATCTTTGCTGGACGAGCAGGTACTTAGCCCACTGGAACGCACTGAATGGTTTTCAATGCATTTCAATGGGTTTTTTTTATTTTGTTTGACGGCGTTTTCGCTCTATAGCGATTTTGCTGGAACGAATTAACGTCGTCAAGTGAGGCACCACTGTATCGAATGATTTAGTCTTGATGCGTAAGAGAGGCATTGCAAACGAATAGCCTGTTCTTGGAGAACAAGAAAACTTTGTAGGACTTTTTAATTTTTGTTTTTCACTTGGCTTCACACCCTTGTGTGCCGTTTTGGATTTTCCTTTGGGAGGGGAGGCAACCTAGCAATGGAAACTGCCATAAGGGGCGTGTGAACTTCACCAGGGAAAGTTTCTGTGCTTTGCTGTTTTATTCTCCCTCTTCTTATGCTGTTCAAATTACCTGCTTCTTGCAAGATTTGGAGAGACAGCAAAAAAAAAATTGAGATACATTGCGCATAAAATGCTCCAAGTCGTAGGGGCAGGCAGAAGGACAGCTGCCCGTTAAAGGATGATCAGAAACCCAGACAGACAAGAATTCGACACAGCAACTAGCTTTTTTCCCCATTGCTCACAGTTTAATCATTTCAATTTGAACCAGATTTCTGATGAACAAACTCAAGTGCCAAACATTTTCATTCCCTTATAGCCCAGGAGACCTCAGCTCTGCATGCCGACCGGATTTAAGGCACCACGAAGAAAGGGGAGTTCAATGCATGTCAAAGGAGAAAACCATCATGCTACGGCACCTTGATAACACAGGGCTCCTTCCCTGGGCACAATTTCAGGAAACAAAACATGTGTGAACATTTCTGAACAACCAACATAGCAGCAGAAGGAAACATGAAGGGCCACAAAGGAGAAATCAATTTGATTTTTATGTCGCTGCATCATGGCATGATTGAATCTGCTGGTCTGCGCTTAGGATCCCACCCCATGCTCCCCCAGGACATGTCATGTGACACAGTGGCCTAACTCTGCAGAATATTGCAAACCATTCCTTCTGAACAGGCCCAGCTCTTCCTTTGGAGGAACAAAAGGCAACCCCACAAGCTTCACCCTATTCAACCTGGCATAGCGGTAGGGGCCAACCTGTTTTTTTTACTGCCTTCGATTCTTTTCCTTCTCCAGAAGCAGCTCGGATCAAGAGAGAATATCATACAAGTTGATCTTCGGCAACAGATTAAAAAAATAATGCTTTCCTGAGAGCGCTGGTTTTGTTCTAAGAGGGAGCCGTTTATGGATGGAGTGTATTCAGTGGGATGGCTGGCATATTTTTAATTCATCACAGCAATAAAGGACATATTTCATGAATCCTAGGTTCATTTTATGAACAAGATCAGCATTTTGTTGTTGTTTAGTCGTTTAGTCGTGTCCGACTCTTCGTGACCCCATGGACCAGAGCACGCCAGGCCCTCCTATTGTCCACTGCCTCCCGGAGTTGGGTCAGATTCATGTTGGTCGCTTCGCAGACACTGTCCAGCCATCTCATCCTCAGCATATAAAAGATCAGCAATTAAAATTTAAATTAATAAATAAACCCCATTTTATTTAGCCCACCTGTCCCACCTACTGTGGCCAATCAGAGCCTTTCCTGAGAGCTTCGGCTTCTTTCTAAGGCTGAGTAACTTAATAAGGCGTATGCTACCATTATGACACTGGCTGACCAGCGTGTTTTGTTGTTGTTGTTGTTATTTATATTAATATAGGGCACATTTTGTGAATTCTAGGTTCAGTTTATGAAGCCAAACAGAATATAAAATGTAAATAAATAAACAAATGTAAGTCTATATGGCCTGCCATCCTTTCCCCCACACTGGGCAGCCAGAAGCCTACCAACAAGACCATCCACGTGGAATAAAATATTGCCCGTGTTGCTCAGGCTTCCCAGCCGCTCATACTCAAGAGTTTCAAGACAACTTGTTGAAAAACTTCCACACTGGACACAGTCTCTCTCTCTCTGAACATGTTTAGTTCAATCATCTGTACCTAGGGAGGAAAAAAATGCTGAAATCCTGTTGTAATAAATCCTACTAGGGTAGGCCCATTGAATCAGCAGGGATTTGGTGACTCACCTCTGTAAGTTCAAATGGGACTACTCTAACAGCAACATACTGTACGAAAGTAGGTCACAATTAGAGTAGGCCCACTTGAATCCATGGACCTTTCGTAGGAGTTGACCCACCAAAGCCCCACCGATTCAATGGGCCTGTAGCTCAGTGCAGTAAGATGAATTACTAGGCTAAGCAACAGGATTTTGGCCACTGCCTTGTTGTATTTAATTCTCTCTGACTGTGTTAAAAAGGGTGCTTTATCAGTAGGGAATCAAAGAGTGGAGCTTAACTGTTGTGTTCGCTTGGGTGGGCATTACACAAAGGGTGCACTGGTGTGCCTGCTTTGAGTGAAGAGGAGGACCGCTAATCCTGCTTTTAGAGGGAATGGTTTCAACCATAGCTTTTCCCTTCAAACTAAAACTGTTTTTCCTTTACTTGTGACTCCCATGTTGGAAGGAAAGAAACCAGTCAAGACATTTCCCCTCTCCCTTTCTGGAACTGTTTCCCAACACTTGTAAAAAAAAAAAATCTGAGGGACATACAGGAGGAACATGTGGAAAGGATGGACACATGGAGTAACAAAAATAGTCTCTCCGTTTTTTGAGTTCATTGTTAGTCCCATCTATTGCTGCATCAACAACAACAAGTTGTGTTCTCCGCAGACTCCAATCAGCTGCAGACCCACAAACACCACAGGCCTGCTTTGTCAAAGAAACTGTGAAAAACTGTGAGCTCTGTTGTGCGCAGAAAGGTTATCTTTCCACCAGAAGCTTTTTCTGCACTCTGAACATTGATCTGCTTCCTCGTTTAACTGAGTTCTTAGATGATTACCAAGATTATCGGGGTGTCCGAAGCTCTTTCAGCACTCTGAGCAATTATGTGATTTTTCTCCTTTACAGGTTCTCTGAAAGGAAGCAAAGCGACCTCTGAGGCATTTTCCACACACTGAGCATTTATATAGTTTTTCTCTTGGCTGGGTATTGTGATGGGTAATACGGTTCCTGCTCTGTTTGAAGCTCTTTCCATTCTCTGAGCGTAGGTATGGTCCAGGGTGGGTTCTCCGATGGGCAGCAAAGCTCTCTCTCCGCTTGGAGAGGTTTCCACAGTCTGAGTATTTATACAGTTTCTCTCCTTTTCTGTTCTTGGGTATTTAAAAAGAGTATCCCACTGCCAGAAGCACCTTTCGCACCCAGATTTTATATATGGTTTCTCCCCTGCATGGGTTCTCTGATGTTTATTAAGGCCGCTCTTCTGCTTAAAGTTCTTTCCACAGTCAAAGCATTTATAGAGTTTCTCCTCCCTGTGGGTTCTCTGGTGGGTATTAAGGTTATCTCTCCGACTGAAACTCTTCTCACAGTCTGAGCACTTATAGGGTTTCTCTCCCGTGTGGATTCTTTGATGTTTAACAAACGTACTCTTGTCCTTAAAGCCCTTCCCACAGTCTGAACATTTATACGGCTTCTCTCCTGTGTGGGTTCTCTGATGGATAATAAGGTTACTGCCCCGGCTGAACCTTTTTCCACAAGCTGTGCATTTATATGGCTGCTCTTCTGCGTGGGTCCCACGATGCTTAGTAAGGGTGATGTGGCCCTTCAAAGTCTTCCCACACACTGCACTTTTATAGGGCTGCTCTCTGTGGGTTCTTTCATGTTTAGCAAGACTACTTTTCTCCCTGAACATCTTTCCGCACGCTAAGCACTTATATGGCTTCTCTTCAGTGTGGGTTCTCTGATGGGCAGCCAGGTTATCCCTTCGCTTGAAGCTCTTTTCACAGGCTGAGCACACATACGATTTCTCTTCTGTGTGTATTCTTTTATGTCCAATAAGGATACTACTGTAGCTGTAGCTCTTTCCACACTGTGAACATTCATATGGTTTCTCTCCCGTGTGGCTTCTTTGATGGGCCTCAAGACTACGCCTCTGTTTGTAGCTCTTGTCACATTGTGAGCATTTATAGGGTTTCTCTCCTCTGTGGGTTACCTGATGATTAGCAAAAGTACTTCTGTACCTGAAGGTCTTGCCACACTCTGGGCATTTATAGGGCTCCTCTCCTGTGTAAATATTCTCCTGGGCATTAAGGATTTCCCTCCAACTGCTGCTGTTTTCAGAGCTGAAGTACTTGTATGGTTTTATTCTGGTGTGGGTTTTTTCATGTATACTGAGATGCGCTCTCTGCTCAAAATCCTTTCCACAAACTGTGCAGTGAAACTGTTTCATCAGTCCTGCAGCTAAGCTAATCATGAATCTTTTACTTACACTTTTTGCCCGGGGAACAAATGGATTCCCTCCCTTTCTGAGGTGACACTTTTCTATTTGTGGGCCTATGTCTTGAGTAGTCACACATTCCTCTCTCCACTGTTGTCTGTCTCCATTTTTAATTGTCTTTTGTTCTTCCTTCACGTCGTTTTTTCCCCCATCACCTGTAACACCAGAGAAATGTGAACCCAGAGGAAGACACTCTCAAATTAAATTAAAAACTCAATCAGAAGAAGGGAGAAAATTAAGCCAATGAGGGGAGTTGCCTGAAATATGAACAGGAATGGAAATAGGCAATTTTTTGTGCTTTAGGCCAACTGCACTGTCAGGTTGTGGTATGCAAAAACACACAAAAATTGTTATCAACGTTACAATTTTTTAAGAATAAAGAAATGAAAATCACAAGAAAAAAAAGGTATGTCAAAGTATCTCTTTTCTACTACTTATATGCAATATATCTGGAAATGATTACTAAGTAGTATAGTAACCTTAATAAAAATATACCACAGAAGAGAGTTCAGCAAAATTATGCAACAAATCTTTGGAAATTTATGTATTTATTTATACAAAACTGTGCCCTCATATGGGGAGCCGGGATCAAAGTACTGGTTTAAAACCCAATTTCTTATTCGGCACAGTGGCAAACTGTGCTAATTGGCAAGGTGCTTGTCATGTTTCTCGCCACTAAATATCTTGTTAATTACCTACAATTTGCCACCATGAATTATAATATTTCAATTACTCCAGAGTAAAATCCTAATAGGTTTCTCACCAATGTTGACAAATTTGAGCTCAATTAAGGTGGTACAACTAAATATTTGTTGAAAGGGAAGAACAGCTCTAGCTTTATCGATGTATGTTCTTTGAAAGAACCAATTCGTCACCAATTACCAATAATTAAAGTGATTGAAAAGGCGATCAGAAAGCTAATCTTCTCATCTAAATGGGCAGTGAAAACCTTATTGGAAAATTATGCTGGTATCATGCAAATGGCATAACATTTGGAAGTGAACTGCCTGAAGTTAAGACATCACTCCAATAGTTACACTGAATGTGTTATGCTTCTGGATGTAACTAGTAGGATTTGGCATCATATAATCAACTTACAGTAGGACTGAGGTATCTGTGGGGTATTGGTTCCAAGACCCCTGCGGCGATGCCAAAAAACATGGAAGTATCGAACACTACACACTGTGTGGTCTCTGGCGCCCACTAGTGGCCAGTTGTGGAAAATACATTCTGGAGGGGATTTATAACACAGAAGTCCCCAACCCCTGGTCTGCAGCTTGGTGCCGGTCCACTGCCTGAGGCGGAGCAGGCCACGGAGACAGACCTCCAACCCCCACCCCTGCATGCACTCCCCCTAGACAACCCATTTGCGCCTGTGTGCATGCACCTGCACCTACTTGAGCTCTCCCCCACCCCTTTGCACATGCACATGAGTACCCCCTGAGCACAGTGCCACCCTTTGCGCATATGCATGACCATGCGTGCACCTGAGCATCACCCTTTGGGCATGTACACGAGTGCCCCCTACTCCTTTGCGCATGCACATGAGTGCCCCCTGCTCCTTTGTGCATACACACAAGCTCATGCTCCCATGCATGACAGTGCTCCTTTGTGCATGCGCACAAGTGCAGAGGGCTGCCCCACCTTCCCCAGCCCATCCGCGGGGCTAAAAAGGTTGGGGACCGCTGTGTATAAAGTATTTCCAGGCAGCTGATACTGATCCCGCGAACAGGGATGTGTGTCTTATTGTACAGAGTATTTTATCTTCTGTATGCCTCAAGATACAGATTTAATCCCCAGGATTGCTACCTCTAGACCAATAAGGGGAATCACAGCCATTCGTACCTCAAGGATCTGCCACAATGGGTCTCCAGATGTTCTTGGACTAAAACTCTCAGAAACCTTCACAACTAGCTGGTGGGAGTTGTAGGCTGGGAACCACTAATCTATCAGCAAGAGTGCAAAGCAGAGTAGAACCTTACCCAGAGAGATCAGCATCCCATAATTCTCCTCCATGACTTCTCTGTGGAGAACCTTCTGGCCTGGATCCATCAGGGCCCACTCCTCCTCTGTGAAACACACGGCCACGTCTTCAAACGTTGTCATATCCTGAAATAAGAAAAAAGATATCAGTTACTGCTCACAAGATCATTTGTTGGTTGGTTTATCTAATGCCCAGCTAACCGAAGGCCAATCTGGGTTGTTCATAACATGAAACATATACTTGAGCAGAAATACAGAGAGTTCTTTCGGCGTTTAAACTACCAACTACCAGACCCTGATGTTGGGAAAGTGTGAGGGCAAGAGGAGAAGGGGACGACAGAGGACGAGATGGTTGGACAGTGTCATCGAAGTGACCAACATGAATTTGACCAAACTCCAGGAGGCAGTGGAAGAGAGGAGGGCCTGGTGTGCTCTGGTTCATGGGGTGACGAAGAATCGGACACGACTTACGGACTAAACAACAACAATGATTGCAAGGAAGTGCACTTCCCTCACATTCTACTTAGGAGTTTCCCAAAGTCATCTAGTTGGTGATTGAAAGCAGTGCACATTTGAATATGTGTTGGTGCTGAGAAACAGTGGAGGTTTGCTACTTCCCTCACATTCTGCTTAGGAGTTTCCCAAAGTCATCTAGTTGGACCCTGAGGGAAGCAGGCTTCTGGACAACATGAGCCTTGGTCTGAACAAGCAGGATAATAATGATGGTGATGATTTTGGACTAAGGACATCCAAAGGACCTCGGAGGTCTCTCCGTCTTCATCTTTTTCCTACCTGGTCTGTCTTCGTGGCAGTCCTTTCTGCTACTACAGGAGGTCCTGAACATGGACTTAGGCTCCTTTCATCACCTGTGAGGGGGAGAAAAGTGCTGGATTAAAAACTTATCGACGGAGGAGTCCTTGATAAATCCGTCCGTGGACTGAAATCTTTGTCACCAGGGACTCTTACAGAAAGAAAAAATAATACAGCGATAGGGATACTGCCATTTTATTTATTTGACATATTCATCATCCGTATTACCCATATTAATCACACTGTAGAGGACAGAAAATTGTTCCTCGTTTTCCCAAAGGATGCGGCTTTGTAGAATCGCGAGGGAGTGGATCCAGACTGAACAACTGGAACACATGTACAGTTGTGACCTGCTTTACGACTGCCCCGTATTATGGCAAAACCACATTACGACGTTTTTGCGATTGCTTTTGCAATCGCAAAACGATGGTCTGAATAGGAGGTTTTTCGCTTTGCGATGATCAGTTCCCTGCTTCAGGAACCGATTTTTCGCAAAACGACAATTTTCCTCCAGCTGATCAGCGGTTTCAAAATGGCCACCAGGTAAATAAAATGGCTCCCCGCTGTTTTCTGGGACAGATTCCTCGCTCTACAGGCACTGAAAATGGCCGCCCTATGGAGGATCTTCGCTGGACGGTAAGTTTCCAGCCCATTGGAACGCATTGCAGGGGTTTCAATGGGCTTTTTATTTTCGCATTACGGCGTTTTTATTCTACAGCAATTTCGCTGGAACAAATTAACGTCGTAATGCGAGGCACCACTGTATTGACTAGAACACTGGTTCTTAACCTTGGGTTACTCAGGAGTTTTGGACTGCAACTCCCAGAAGCCTTCACCACCAGCTGTCCTGACTGGGGGTTCTGGGAGTTGCAGTTCAAAAGCATCCAAGTAACAAAGGTTAAGAACCACTGGCCTAGAAGACTACTGTAGGTCGGCACTGAACCCAACTAAAGACCTTTGGGGTATTGGGCTTCCCTTCCTGGATGGCCTGGAACAAGTGAACGACGGCCAGTTACTTGGGAGCCATTTATGGCGGCGCCAGTCCGCGCGACACCAAGAAGTTCAACTCTTGAAACCAGAAACTCCGCGGGGGAAGCGTCTGCTCCCAAAACAAGTGGGTCATAAGAGGAGGTCAGGAGGCTCAGGCGGGGCCCACAATTCACGTCGCATGTGGGCATTCAAAAGCAGGGCCAGGCGGAATAGAGGCTTTGCTAGTTCTCACCTGGGACGGTGACACCTCCGTCACTCTCCAGTTTGATCCAAGTCAACTCTCTCTTCTGTTGAGTATCCAGTGGAGCAGATGATCCACCGGTTGCTTTGCTTGGCACCACCGTCCTCTGAAAGAAGGATAAGGATAGGAGATGAGGAGAGGGGCAACGGGGAAACTACTTCCCTCCTTAGAATAAAGTCAGCAAGAGATGCACATTTTAACAATGTTTAAAGAAGAAGGCCTTTTCTGTGCAATCAGTCTCACCCTATAGATTTTGTGGCACACTAGTAACACTGCAGTACTGCAGTCAAGACTCTGCTCATGACCCAGAGTTTGATCCCAACAGGAGCTCAGGAAGTTGCCTCGAGGTTGACTCTGAGAGTTCGATCCCAATAGAGGCTCAGGAAGTTGCCTCGAGGTTGACTCTGCTTTCCATCCTTCTGAGGTTGGTAAATTGAGTACCAAGCTTCTCGGAAGGGGGGAGCAATATGTAGAGTGCTTTAAGCACTATGGGGAAGTATATAAGCAGCATCCTTTGCTTCGATTTCCTTTGGATGTGGGCCCGTGATGTCACTGTCTTTAAAGCATCACATCATCACGTGAATAAATAAAATAAGACAGGGGAGAAACCACACAAGCCAGAAGCCCTTTGAAAGTTCCATAATTATCGGAGGACTCTGAGTAGCTAAAAATGTTATTCTTGTACAGTGGTGCCTTGCTAGATGATGATAATCCATTCCACTGACATGGCTGTTTAGCGAAATCATTGTTTAGCGAAAAGCATTTCCTGATTGGAATGCATTGAAACCTGTTTAATGCGTTCCAATGGGGAAGAAAAATCGTCTAGCGAAGATCGGCCATAGGAAAGCCGCTTAGTGAACCGCCAATCAGCTGTTTAAATTGCTGTATTGAGAAGCTTAGATTCCCAAAACACACGTTTTGCGAGTGCGGATGGAGCTGTCAAAATTGTTGTCTAGCGAAAATCGGTTTGCAAAGCAGGGGCCAAACATTGTCCAGCGAAATTCCCCCATAGGAATCACTGTTTTGCGAATCGCTATAGCGATCGCAAAAAGTCAATGTCTAGCGAAAAAACTGTCATGCGGTGTAACTGTCTAGCAAGGCGCCACTGTACTTCTGGAAGGTTAAGACTGTACCTCTGACTCTATCTTCTATATGATCTATCATTTTCTATAAAAATTCATGGAAGCCTCATCTGGAAAGCTGCTGGAGATATTTTGACCATATTTCCTGCCCCTTGGAATTCTCAGTGTGAAAGGCAGTGAAAAAGACTCTCACCTGTTCTATTTCCCGGTTCTTCTCCTCTGCCTGGCTCAGGAGGAAGCCTTCAGACAAGGCCACCGCCTGGGAAGTGGTCTCGGCTCCACATTCTCTCATCCAGCATCTCATCTCTGGGGGAAGGATGGCCAGGAACTGCTCCAGGATCACCAGGTCCAGGATCTGAGTCTTGGTGTGCCTCTCCGGCTTCAGCCACTGGTGGCAAAGTTGGTGGAGTCGGCTGCAAACCTCCCGGGGGCCTTTGCCATCCTGGTAGGAAAACCTTCTGAAGCGCTGGCACAGGACCTCCGAAGAATGAGTGTCTACGCCCAGATGATTCCACCCGGTGATTTCCCAGACAGCTCCACTGCTCCCGAGCTCAGGGGCAAGAAGATGCCCCGTTTCTGCTTCAAAACAAGCCAATTCAAGCTCTTCCATTTTTGATCCATGCAGCAGCTCAGCTTTCAGCTCTCCAAGGAACACCCTTTCCGCCTGCCGGTTTGTTTCTTGAGCAAAACCAGCAGCAATGATTGCACCGGATAAGAGCCACTGCTATGCCAGCCACAAGCTCTTCTCACGTTTTCCTATAAGAAAGATATAGGTACTCAAAACAAGACAGTGTACTGTATATCCATGTGCAACCTAACAATGCCCCTTCTGATAACCATCTTCTACCCTTCCATTCATTTCCCCGTTTCTGCCAGAAACCCACTTCCTTCCTTTACCTCCAGAGGTATAAAACTGATTTTTGATACATTTACATCACAGAAATAGATCAACTACTAAAGGGAAGGTATGAATCCTGCAAAACGCATAATGGAACAGCTATCTCAGCTTTGAAGCCATCTTTCCCTTATGGTAACTATAGAGCAAGCGGTTGTGAAATTATTTTCATTCCTCCAGCCTCTTCTCTTTGTTCTCTCCCAGTGTAAACTGGACCGGGATGGGCTTTTCTGATTCGCTGGGAACATTGTTTAGTTCTGTCCCATAAATTGGTTTCCAGGCCTTTCTGGTGACACTTTTTATATCGGTTTTTTAATGACTCAATTTCCACTAATCAGTGAACAAGGTTTATTGCTTAAAACCACAGGCCATCACTATATACCAACTGCAACACAAAAACTATACGGCACCAACATCGCATATTTACAAATCAATATAAGATGACATAGCTTCCCTCCTTTGTTAAGACTTTTGATGCTTGGCACAGACCTTTTTTGCTGCCAAAGCAAATTTTGCTACTTGATAGGCAATCCAACATCTAACATTTGTCATGGAGGCAATTCTGACTTTATAAGAGGGCTTGCAAAAGAGAATTGACTTTTCTCTTTTCCTTTCTAAGAAGACCTAAAGTTGAGTCTGTGTTAAAATCTAACCACACACTGTCCCTAGAGGAGCCCCATTGGTGGGTTCTGCAGACCCATCATCCTCATTAAATCTCTAGGGGGGAAATACAGCAAGATGCAGCTTGAAGATCCCTCCCTTCTCCTTTGTGGTTTTCCTCCCCGAGGCTCTCTGAAACTTCAATTCCGTTTTGTACTTGGCCTAACGCAGGTTAAGTCCTTGTTTCCACCATGAAAATATTTAACTGGGGTTGGAAGCAGTTTAACTCACTTCTTGAACCCAATCCTACTTATCTGGGGAGGAAAAAAAATCAGTAGGGTGGCTTGAATTATTGAGTTATTGTTATTGGTTTAGCGATACTAAGGATATGGATCTGGTTTTTTTCTGACAGCCAAGGTAGTTTCCCCGACTTCTCTCCCACCCCTGCGCCCCTTAGCTTTGCATAAAATAGAATTAAAAGAAAAAAAATGA